TGTAGTTGCTAAACACTTCCTTGATAAAGTTAATCGGACAATTGATGAGCCTAGTAATATTAAAGTTGTTGATATTATAGGAAACAAAACAACTCCATTAGGATGAGTTAAAAATACACCTGTTCTTTTGGGTACCAAATTAACTTATGTGAATATGATAGTAACCGAGTCTAAGGAATATAATGTGGTACTTGGCAATGAATATTTGGATAAAGTCCAAGCTACTATCAACTACTATGGTAAATATATGAGTATTGAAATAACAGATCAAATAGAGTATATTCCAATATCTTGTAAACAACGAATAGAAGATCCTAATACCATATATCTAATTAATTTCAAAGATTATCACTCTAATCAGGAATTAGAGTTAGAACTAGAAGATAATAATGAGCCCACTGCATCGGCCTATACAACTATTCAAGTTGGAAACACCTTTGCCCAATTTGAGGAACAATTAATAGCAAATGTAAAAGTAAAAAATGCCAATAATCCTTTAAATCCTCCTCTACCAGATATTTTTAAGTTAGTATAACTAAAAATTACTGAAATTAAAGATAAAAAGAAAGAGGATCAAAAAGTATCTATACCAATCAGCAAAAACAAATCAACCTTTATTAGACATATCTTGGACAATGATCAAAAACAAATTATAACCCAACTACTATATAACAATGCTAACATTTTTGCAACTAAATTTGTGGAACTAAAAAAAACTAATGTCATATACCACACTATCAATACTGGTGAATCTTATCCAATTAAACAAAGAGTATATAGAGTCTCACTAGTCAAACAAAAACATATTGAAAAAGAAATTGCTAAAATGGAAAAAAATAGTATCATCTGAAAATCTAAAAGCCCTTGGAGCTCTCCTGTCATTTTGGTCAAAAAGAAAAATGGCAAGCTTAGATTTTGTGTAGATTTTAGAAAATTAAATAATGTGACAAAGAAGGACACCTATCCCCTATCAAGGATTGATGATATGTTGAATAATCTTGGTAATGCTCAATGGTTCATATCTTTAGACTTGACTTCTGGATATTGGCAAGTAAAAGTCAAAGAAGAGGACAAGGAAAAGACTGCATTCATTACTAAATATGGTCTTTATAAATTTAATGCTATGCCTTTTGGATTGTGCAATGCACCATCTACATTTTAAAAGCTTATGGATGTAGTATTAAGGCCTGTTCTATGGAAAAAAGCCATGGTATATATTAATGACGTTAATATATACTCTATATCATTCGAGCAACATATACTGGATGTACAAGAGGTGTTTAAATTAATTAGACAA